GTCTTGTGTCTTGGACGCAATTTTAAATACTTATATTTATACAACTTTTAAAGAACAATTTGCATATTGTCAGTCTTTTTTCAAAAATTTTATTAATTTATTTTGTTTTATTAATGTTGTCAGTCTTAAACCATGCTGAGAATACATTCATTTCCCTAAGGATGAAAAGCTCAAGTCTCTACCTAGCACTATAAAACCTCTAAATCCATATCTTTTCAAGGGTACTGTAGTCAGAAGACCTGGATTTTTATCCTAGTCTTGACATTTTATGACCTTGGGAAAGTCACTTCGTGGGTTTCAGTTTCTTCATCTGCAGAATGAGATGGCTTCCATGATCTGTCTTAGTTCTAATCTATGTTGCTATGACATTTCTAGAATTTTAAAAATTTTATAAATATTATTATTAGCCATTTTCTGTTCAAAATTATGTAAATTTTTTGGGATTGATTTTGATTAAGGCTCATATAATCAGTATGGCAGGAGGGAGTTGATGTAGGAGTCAGGAAGACCTAGATTCAGGTATACTTCAGATGCAAATATTTCCTATGAGTTACTGGGGAAGACACTTTAATTTTTGGTGCTACAGGCAACTTTTAGTTTGCAAAAATAGTCATATATTGTATTGGTAGAAGGTAGTTTTTTCTCCAGAATTCCCATACCAATGAAATTACAGAACTTGTAAAAAAAAAAATCAGGTTTTTTTTTGTTTGTTTTTGTTTTTGTTTCTTTATATATATATATATATATATATATATATATATATATATATATATATATTTTTAGCATGACCAGTTTGTACAGGATAACTTTTATCATCTGGTCAAGCTCTTTGAGGTCAGGACTATTTTATTTTTGTATTTGTAGCTCCAGTGCCAGGCACAGAGTAGGTGCTTAATAAATACTTACAGAATGTTACCATGTTAAGAATGAACTGGCTAGATTCTACAACAGTACCTAACTACCAGAAAAATATACATTCTTTTTGTCATTATTTTTAGGACACAATGCTATTTTATTACATTCATATACTATAATTTGTTCGTCCATTCCCCACTTGATGGGCATCTTGTTTCTAGTTCTTGGTTGAAAAAAATGATTTGATACATATTTTTGTGGATATAGATCCTGTTATTTGTCTTCTTTTTAGTGTCTTTGGGTATGGTTTTAAATTGCTTTCCAGAATGGTTGGACAGATTCATTGCTCCACCAACAATGAATTAGTATTCCTTTTCTCCCAGAACCCCTCCAACAATTGTCATTTTTCCTTTTTGTCATCCTTAACAGTCAGATTTGTTTGAAGTGTTTATTGAAAAACCAGAAATTTTAAAGAGGAAGAGAAAGGAGCCTGCATCTGGTTAAGGTTTTCAGGGACTGGTGTTGATTCATTTGGGATGGTCAGGCTTCTTCATTTCTTGGGGCAAGGATTTTACTAAGGTCTCATTATAGAATATCTCTCTCCCCCGTGGGAATATTCTCTAGTAGAAACCCTTCCTACCACTGAATTGAGATTGCCCTTTTTCCCTCCCCTTGGTTTTCAGTCTTTTACTTTGTTACCTTACCCATTCTTTCCTATAGGCCCTTTTCTTTGAGATGATAGTTATTTTCCTTCTAGGGAGACTAGCAGTATATGAAGGACACTGCCCTGTCCCCCCTTTCTCCATATTCTCTTGGTGACCTCATTAGCTCCAGTAAATTTGTCATCTTTATGCAAATATCCATAGATCCAGACTCCTTTAGCTCCTATCCAGAACCGTAAATTGCCTATTACATTATTTTAAACTAGATGTGTCCCAGAGACATCTTATGCTTATCATATCCAAAACAGAATTCATTCTCTTCTCCTCCCCCTTTTTCAACCTATTCTTCTTCCAGATTTTCCTATTTATGTCAAAGGCACCACTATTCTTACAGTAACTCAGTTCATAACCATAATTTTTGATTTCTCATTCTCCCTCGCCTCACATACCCTCTCAGTTGCCAAATACTGCTTTTTCTACCTCTGTCATGTCTCTTACAACTGACACCTTCTCTCCACTCACAGCATTACCTCTTACCTGGATATTAAAATGTTCTCCTAATTGGTCTTTCTGCCTTAAGTACTTCCCCATTCCAGTTCATCCTTTATACAACTGCCTAGACTTGATCATGTCACTTCCTTTCTAAGTAAACTCCATTGACTCCCTATGTCTCTGGGATGAAATATAAACTCTTATTAGGCTTATAAAGTATATAAAACCCTTCACGACTTGTCCCCAACCAATCTTTCCAATGTTACTGTACATTGTTGATTACTCCCCACAAAAGTGACCCTGCCAAACTGGCTTCTCTCTTTTATTATACACTGCACTCTGACTCTTGTTATCTGTGACTTTGCACTGCCTCTCACCCCTGTGCCTGTAAAGCCTGTGTTTCCTCTTCATCTCTGTTGAATAGAAGCCGCCTTCATTTGAGATAGGGCCTAAGCACCATCACTGACATGAAGTCTTTCCTTATTGCTCTAATTTTTGTTGTCCTCCCTCCCAAACAGATGCAAATTAAAACAACTTTAAGCTTCCACTTCACTCCTATCAAATTAGCAAAAATAATTAAAAACAATTAAATTAAAGCAATTAAAGTTATTGTTGTATGAGGTGTGGAGAAATGTTAATTGCTGGGTGAATTGTAAACTTTTACAATCTTTTTTGAGGTAATAGGAAAATAAACCGTATTATCAAAATCGTAAGAGCTGTCTTTTCAAAGATTTTCAGAGCAGTATTGCTTACTTCTAGATTTTTGCAATTACATTGTAAAGGTCTGTATCACAAGTAACAACACAGGAGGCACTGGAGTTTTTTAGACTCCAGCCTCTAACAGGTTCACTTTTGATCTGGGCAGCCAGAAGCACAGGAAGACAGCTTCAAAGGGGTTAAATAAGCTTACTTTAGTCTTCTCAAGATGGTTGCTGATAATGGGCACACCAGCTTCTACAGCATTCCCCAATCATCCTTGTCACAGGAGTGGCAAGAAGGGGGGGCAACAACCCCTATGTGTTGATGGGGGCCAATTGAGATAGGCACAGCATTCTAGTTTCTGTACTTCTGTATATCCCCCAAAGCCTTAAAGAGGGCTGGTTGAGGCAGACACAGCATTACACTGTCACGTTCCCAAAATCCCCATTTATTGACCAGCACTCTCTTGATTTATAGAGAAGCACACAAAGAAGTCAATTTGCCAGCATTAAGCTCACAGGTTAACTTTAGCAATATCGTTATAACCTAGCAAAGTGCAAATGTAGTAACTATTACATTATGTAACCCCCCTATATCTCTACTGCAATTGCGCAGAAGTTATTTTCAACCATAATTCATGGGAAATATTATCTATTTTGGCCATAGAGCCTGGGACCTACTATTGAAACGATTTGCTCAGTATTTTTATAATTCTTTGATTTGCAAAGGGCAGGGGGAGGGGAGGGAGGGAGAAAAAAAAATTGGAACTCAAAAATCTTGTAAAAGTATATGTTGAAAACTCTCTTTGCATGTAGTTGCAAAAAAATAAAATATTAAGTGGGGGGAAAAAAGATTTGCAAAGGACTTTAATGTATGTTACCTTATTTGACCCTCACGTAACAATTGTGACGCAGGTACTATTTTTATTTCTAATTTTACCGATAAGGGAACTGGGGCTACAACTTGGCCAGGGTCCATAGGCGTAATAGATGTGTCTGAGGTAGTATTTGAACTTGAGTCTCCTGAATTTGTCTGCCACTCTACCTACTATGTGTAGGACCTTTCTGGTTTTGAGCTCCTTAGTGTGTATATGTAGAAGTGGCAAAGGTTATTTTGTTACTTTAAAAAACAAAACAAAACACGTTTACAAATTGCTTTTCAGAATGGTTAAGCCAATTCATTTTTACAAACTATGTATTAAGGCGCACATCTTATAGCCCCTCCAACACTGACTAATTTCATCTTTTGTTATCTTTTCCAATTTGCTGGCTGTGAAGTAAACTTTTAGAATTGTTTTGATTTACTTTTCCCTTAGTGGTGATTTGCAGTATTCTTTCATAATAGACCAATGATTCTTTTTTGGAGAACTGTTTATTTGTAGAATGAAGTGGAAAAACAAAGACACATGAAATAAAACACTTTAAAGCTTCTGACCACTTATCTGTGAGAATGGTTATAGGTCTTAAATATTTGTGTTATTTTCTCATATGTTTTGGATTGAGAGAGGGACTACGTTTCCTTGATTGATATAAGAACCCTCGTGAGTAACTCCGTCTTTCTTTTTGTCAACTTTTAGAGTTGCCTAGAGTTCTGAGAGGTTAAGTGATTTGCACAGGGTCACATAGCTAGTATATTATCAAAGGCTGGACTTGAATCCAGGTCTTCTTGGCTTCCAGGTCAGCTCTCTTCTCTATGTCCCTGATAAAGTTCTCTTCTCATTTTTTTATGGTGTTAACATTTTATGTTAAGTTTGTATATCCATCTTAACTTTATTGTTGCATATGACAAAACAAATTTCTTGCAAATATACTTTTCAGTTTTTCTCAGCAACTGTCAAATAGAGTTCTTCCTTAAGTAATTTGTGTTCTTTACTTTATTGAACAATGACTTAAGGAGTTTGAGCAAAGTCACTAGTTGTGTTGATCAATATTCTTTTTAGTAAATTATAAGAAAATTAAAACAATTTTTAAAAAACCGCATAGCAGAGCTAACAGGGACCTTAAAGACTCTTTCCCTCATTTCCTCACCAAACACACACATGCCAACTAAAAAATAATAAAAGCTTATAAAAATCAAAACTTATTTTCCCTAATAGAAAAAGATTAGAGATTTCTGATAGGTTAGAGACTTCAGACTCCCCCAAAAGGTTCTTTTTGTTGGGCTACTAATTTGACTTGATTGAAATAAATTTTATTTTCTTAGTGGTTAAGTAGTAACTTCATCTAGCATCTAGTATTTTGATTATTTTATAAATCATCGCTGGTTATTTGTTTGCTTTTTTCCTTCTTTCAGTTGACTATATTGTGGAGTACGACTATGATGCAATACATGATGATGAATTGACCATTCGAGTTGGCGATGTCATCAGAAATGTGAAAAAACTAGAAGAGGAAGGATGGTTAGAAGGAGAACTAAATGGAAAAAGGGGGATGTTTCCTGATAATTTTGTTAAGGTAAGTAGTCTTTGATAACCTTTTTTCCATATCTTCTGGGAATTTGAAGCTTTAAGTTAAGAAAATATACTAGAAAAAATTCTGTGGTGTTATCTTTTAAAATACGGGTCAGACCAGCTTTGGAGTAGGTTATTTACTTAGCTGAGTTTTTGTCTTGTGATGAATAGTAGTAACAATGCTTTGTATATCTGCTATGATGATGTCTTTATAAAGAATAATATCATGTGACAAATGTTTTCTTTGGTCTCTATCCATGTAGCAATTATTCTTTAATGATGACTAATGTTTATATAACTCTTGTAAGTTTTGCAAAGCGTTTTACATATATTATTTCATTTGATCCTCATTAGAACCCTCTAAGGCAAATACTATTATCCTCATTTTACAGATGAGGGAACTGAGGCAGAGAGCAGTTAAATGACTTACCCAGTGTCACTCAGCTAAGTAAGTGTCTGAGGGCAGTCAGATTTTAATTTAAATTTAAGTCAAATTTTCTTGACTTAAAGTTCAGCACTCTATTCACTACACCAAACTTCCTATTGACATAATTTTATATATTGTTATTATTTTTGATGAGAAAGTACCTGGTTATATGCTTTTTGCATTGTAGGGGAACTGATCTGTTTTGTTTTGTTTTTAACCTTGGGATAGTTTTCACACCTATCAGCATTGTATTAAAAAGCAATATTTCTACAAGAACTCTTGTTGCTCACAATAATTGTAAAAAAGGTGTTAGTTGATATAGTACCCAAATACTGCAGTGTTTTATGTTTTTTTTTTCTTCTGAAATATTCAAGTCTTGATTTTCAAATAAGAATCCAGTATAGACCAGCGAACCTGCTGGTGAAAGTCAGAAATGTTTCAGTATTGTTAATTATAGTGACTGCTGTATTCCAGGCACTGTGCTAAGCCATTTAAAAATGTTACCTCATTTGATCCTCACAGCATCTCTTGGATTTTAGGGGCTCTTATCATCACTATTTTACGGTTGAAGGGAAAACAAAACAAAACAGGTTAAGTGATTTGCCCAGTCATACAGCTACTGAGTCTGAGTCCAGATTTAAAAAAAAAAATCAAATTTATTTATTTTTGTTACATTTTAAGTTCCAAAATGTCTCCCTTTCTCTCTCCCCACTACAGAAGGCCACCATTTGACACAGATTTTGTGTATGTGTGTATAAAAACCATACCTTGTATACTTTTATTCTGAGGCCAGATTTGAACTTGGGTATTTTTGATTCCTAGCACAGTGCTCTTTCCATAGCACCCCTACAATTGGTTATTAAATGGATCACTTGTGAATGTGTAGAATGCAAAATAAGTCCATAGGAGCCAGCATGTGTTTTCTCCAGGCCTGGTAGACTTTCTCATTTCCTCTTTTGATAGGATTACTGTATTGCTAGATTAAGAAATAGTATACCTAGATTTTATTGTGGTACTTTTGAAGTAGTTTTGGAAAAAGTATTGGTAGTAGAAATTACTAGGTATATTTTCAACCTTGATTTTAGTATATTATCAACCATGAGTTTATAAAAATTAGAGCACTCCAAAAATGGAATGTTGAGTGCCTGGTCAGTTTCTGTGTTACTGGGGATATTCAAGCAAACCCTAGAAGATCACTTCTTTGTGTTATGGAAGGATCTTAGAATCATAAATTTAGGGCTGGAAGGGACATTAGAGGCCATTCAGTGTAACTCCTTCATTTTATGGATGAGGAAACTGAGGCTTAGTGTGGTAAATGACCTTATCCAGGATCATACAGTGACAGAGTCAAGATTTGAACTCATTGATATAGAGCTCCTTCCTCTGAGTGTCTAAAACCTTGCCTCAGTTCCACTTCCATAAAAAGGATATCAGGTCAACAGTAGGGCAGTGTGTTCAGGATACCCTACAACTAGTCCCTGGGACAAAACTTCTGGGTGTAGAGAGTAGGACTAGAGAAAAAGGAGTTACACTGTTGACTACTGGGCTGCAGGGCTCCCCAAGGTAGTTGTCTCTACCTCCCATTCAGGGTATAATTTGAGATATGTAGTAAGTGCTAAATAAATCCTGATTAAATTGGGTAGCTCTAGCTTCTAGCTTTTTAGTTTGGAGTAGTGCATACCAGAAAAACATGCTGTGTGATTCACTTTATTGTGATATTCACTTTATTGCTGTGGTCTGAAAGAGAACCTGCATTATCTCTGAGGTATGCCTGTAACTGCTCTTATTCAAAAGTCTACAGGTGCCAAAGCCAACATTAAATGTTGATTCTGTGGATACCCAAATAGCCTTAATTTAAGTATGTAATCTTCCTTATTTTATATATATATTTTTTTACCCTTTTATATTTTTTTAAAATTCTTTTTAATTTATTTATCTTTTAGTTTTCAACATTCACTTCCACAAGATTTTGAGTTCCAAATTTTCTCCCCATCTCATCCCATCCCCTACCCCAAGATGGCATGCATTCTGTATACCCCTTCCTCTAATCTGCCCTCCCTTCTTTCTCTTATCCTTTCCCCTTCTGTTTTCCTGTAGGGCAAGATAGATTTCTATACCCCATTTCCTATATTTCTTATTTCCCAGTTGTATGTGAAAATAATTTTTTTAACATGTGTTTTTAAAACTTTGGGTTCCAAATTTTCTCCCTTCCTCCCTCCCCATCCACCCTCATTGAAAAGGCAAGCAACTCAATACAGGTTATACATGTGTAGTCGTGCAAAACACTTCCATAGTAGTCATGTTGTGAAAAACTAAGTATATTTCCTTCATCCTATCCCACCCCCCATTTATTCTATTCTCTCTTTTGACCCTGTCCCTCCTCAGAAGTGTTTGCTTCTGATTACTTCCTCCCCTTTATCATCCCCTTGCTCTCTTGTCCCCTTCTCCCCCTAATTTCCTGTAGGGTAAGATAGATTTCCATACCCAATTGAGTGTGTATGTTATTCCCTCCTTAAGCCAAATCCTATGAGAATAAGATTCACTCATTCCCTCTCACCTTCTCTCATTTCCCCTCCATTGTAAAAACCTTTTCTTGTCTGTTTCATGTGAGATAATTTACTCAATTCTACCTCTCCCTTTCTCCTTCTCCCAGTATAATCCTTTCTCACCCCTTAATTTTATTTTCCAGATATCACTCCTTCATCTTCAACTCACCCTGTGCCCTCTATCTATCTATCTATCTATCTATCTATCTATCTATCTATCTATCTATCTATCTA